AATAGAACGGTCCCTATACGTTAATGTGCCTCAAATCGGCCATCCGCTTAGTCCAATTTCGGCCTACTATTTCCAACCTTTCAGCCGGTACTCACGAATAAATGTTTCAATCTTGTCCTCCAATTTGCGCTTGTCTGTTTAGTCATTGGATTAAACATAGCCCCACAAAAAATAGTCTAAAGGCGTTAAGCGGCACGTTCTAGGCGGCCAATTGACCGGTCCCGAACGTGAAATGAAATGTTCACCGAATTCCGCGATGAACTTTCGTACCAGAGCACGGTTTTCGATAATAAAGTTCAACAATTTACAGGCGTTGTTCGTTTGTAAAAAAAAAATCACCCTTTATTATATGCGAAACACTACATCACTTAATTATGCGAAATTTTTGCGAGTTTTGATCCATGCGAGGTAAGTTTTGACCACTTTTTGTCACAGTTTCTTAGCCATAACTTGACGAATGCTGGTTTCCAAGTGCTAATGTGTTAAAGATCTATTCGCTTAAGCACAGTCTTTTACGTAGCCTTGTAAAAAAAAGTCCAACGGCTTAAAATCTCGGTGGTCACTTGACTTCGCCAATACAAAAGTTTACGCGGCCGAGAAATTTTCCTCGCAATAAAGCCATTTATTAGACTTATTTTACGTGGTATGTGGCAGCATATTGTTGAAGGCACATATTGTCCAAGCCGCGTTCTTTAATTATAGTCCCCAAAAAAAAGTCGGTTGTAATATGACTATAACGCTCCGAAACAACAGCGAAAGTCGCGCGGTTGTCGTTTTACACAAAAAAAAAAAATAAGATCCGATCAAACCAATGTCCGGTGCATATCAGAGAGTATTTTTTCCAGGGTGTAATGAGTTCTCTTCACTAATTTGAGGATCTTCGGAACATCAAATGCTTCAATTTTTCCTATTCACGTGCCGCCGAGATCAATCACCCAATGTGAATGATCAGCTGGCTTCAGTTCTTCTGGAAGTTGGATTTTATATGAATGTAAGAGTGAGTTCACAAGCAAAATACCTCAAAAAATACCTTGCGAATGTCGATAATGTAATTTAAAATATTTCTTTATTCCATTTATTGTCTTGAACCACTTCAGACCGAAAGTCTTAGTAGCTACCCTGTACTTCTCTACCTTCATTATATAATTATTATCAATTTTAGTTCACAAAAATAAATAAATAATTAAATGAAGTACTGTACATACAATTATACAAATAAAATCGTTAAATTAAAGACTGAAAATTTTGAAGATTTTTTTTCATTTTTTTTTTTTTATTTCTTATTTATTTTTAATTCTAAGAGTTAATTTGCACAGAAATTACAACATTTCACAAATGAAATTTCACTAAATATAACAACAAAGCGAGTAGCAACAAAATGCCAAATAAAAATGTCGACAACAAGCAGCTGAAACGTTGTTACGTCGCACAATCAAGCTAAATGTGGGCGTGGGACAAGCAAAATATTATATTATATATACATAAATACGTACATATGTATCAAGATATTGGCCTTTTATCGCTAACACGCCTATTTTATAATGTAGCGATTAAATGCCGCCAACTACAGGTACACAGCATATACAACAACAATCAACGCCAACATCATCAACACTGCCAAAATGCCAATTTTAATTAAGACTTTGACGTAGAAACACTCATACATACATATATAATATGAAACAACATTTTTATGAACGAAATAATCGCCACACATTAAACGTAACAAACAACAAGCTGACTTGGCCAAAAAAAATTTGCTCCCAAAATGAGTACGAATACGAGTGGTGAATGCAAAACAGTTACCACCAACAACAACGACGATAACAACAGTACTAGCAATAAAAATAATATCAGCAGCATACAAGAGATGGGGGGAATTTTATGCCGGCAATCAGCAACGTGCAACATACAACACCCGTTTGCGGTATTTGCATGCGTCTGCTGCTAACACACACCGACTCTCCGTAGGCTGGTAGGCTGGTCTGATCCGTCACTTGGCGCGCTTAGTTGGCCATACATCAACAGGTTATATAAAAATGACGTTAATGAAGCTTGTTAACAAGATTTTGGCCAGCGATTGCTCTTGCGATGTTGGCTGGGGTAAAAAGTGTATGACGAAAAAATTTTGTAAAAGTGCTTTAAAGGTTTTGCGCTGATTTATTATTTTTTTTTTTTATAATATTTTACTTTAATTTAATTTATTTTATTTTATTTTATTTTATTTTATATAAGTTCATTTATCTTTACATTAATTATGATTTTATTAAATTGAATTTAATTTTACTTTTTTGTTATGTATCTTATTTTATTGTATTTTTCTTTGTTTTATTTTATTTTATTTTATTTTACTTTATTTTATTTTATTTTTATTTGTTTTATTTTATTTTATTTCATTTTTTTTTATTCTATTTTATTATATTTGAAGTTATTAATTTTAGGTTTTTTTATATACGTTTTTTAATTGCCTTTCCAACTCATATCAAACTTTCCTTATCATAGGCCATACTATTTGCTGGTTTATTGCGTCAATGGGTAATTATTATGTAATATCTTAAAAATCATTAAAATTCCACACTCAACAGCCATTAATGGCTTTAAAGTAAAGTAAAAAATGTTTATTAAAATCACTGTAAATCTCACTTAAAGCGATCATTAAGCAAAATCAATGATAAAAAAATAAATATTTGTAAATTATAAAAAAATAGCGTATTCAAATAATTTGCTTGGTTTTTTATGTGAAAGTGAACGCTCTCGCGCCTTTACATATCACCACACATTGAAATCTGTCTAAGAGTTTTGAATCATTAACCCAAACGCACGAACAACCGCAATTGCAGCTCCTCAAAGACAATTACAATAAAAATATATAAAAAAAAAACATTAAAAAATCTAAAATATCGAGTTTACCACAAGCGCACAACAACAATTGTGCCAGAAATCATTTATCATAATCATTGTGATTGATTCGTCTTAAAAAATTATAAATCAGGAAATGTGTGCAAACAAAAAAAATATATATATATAAGAAAAAACGCAACAGAGACCATTTACGCCGCTATGAAGCCAAAGAAAGATATTACAAGTTTTGTAATATGAATATTGGCTGCGAATAAAAATCGATTCGTTCTGCTCATAAAACATCAGCTGAAGTGCTGCAATGATGGAGTGTGTACGACGGCAACAAGTTGAAGTTGGAGTTGTAGTTTGTATGGTAAGCAACCACTGAAGAAATGCAGGCGTAAAAAAATCATAAAACTGCTCGCACATAAATTGAGAAAATCGAATTTTTACGCTTCGGTCCAACCGCAATTGCCGCAATGATTCGCACAATTATTAGCCACTGCTTGATATAATAATAATATTTCGTTTATAGGTGCATACAGTTCGTACCGGCTAACCGCATCGGACCGCATTGGTTGTGGCGAGAGTGTGAGAGAAGGAAATAAATAAAGAGAGAGAAAGAAAGAGATAGAGCGAGGGAGTGAAAGACCGACATTTCGCGCATATTAACGCCATGGATCACAGAACGAAACCAAAAGCAATCGCACTTGTTGTGGAGAAAAATGAAAAGGCAATGCGAAATTGTGGTACGTGTGCTGTGAGAAGTGTTGGAACGTGAGGCTGCCGCAGCAAATTCTTATTGAGCTGTAGATGTGCTGTAGCTAAATTATCTTAACTAGCTCGGTTTTTAAGAACATTACTAGAAACCGGCTGCTAGTTATGATGAACAATTTTCCATTTTGAAAATGAAAAAATTCTGCAGTGGAATATACAAAACTCTAAATATTTTTAAAATTTTTATAAAGATGTTGGCTGTTGAAACATTGAGTCGTTTAATCAAAGAATTCTTTCATGAAATCCTTTCTCTCTCTCTCTCTCTCTCTTTCTCCCTATCTCGTCTTTTCTTGTTTGTACAATACGCATTTGATCTTTTAAATCGAGCTTCCTAAAATAACAAAAAGTCCCATCAGAGGGTTTCGTAAATTTCGACCTGCGTACAAATTAGTACAGACATTTCATTTCCAGCATAAAGTCCTCCGATGACTGAGGTTGTTTCTATCAACTTAAGAAACCAGTGCTGCCCCCTTATACACTTCAGGCAAAATTGAAAACCTATCAAAACCGTATGGTACCCATAGAATGCACTGATAGGAATCTCTTCCCTGCCTAATTTCTAGATATGATCAAGGCGAACATTTTGCTGTATTTCTTTATATTTTAATTCGATTTGGGGTTTTGATCTTTTCGTTGTTAAAAGTATGAATACCATGAGCCATAAACAAAGTTAGGGATTGAAGACAAAACAAACTATCTTGTATCTTTTAAATGCCCACAGGAGAATTCACTCTAATAATGAATTTCCCAAATTTATTGTAAACTTGCTTGCATTGTTATTGTCCGAAAAGACATGCCCCCACATCAGAGCGGAAAGGTTCTTACACACCGTCTCTCACATTTCAGAATATTTTCTGACTGACTGACTGAGTATAGACTCATCTAATAGGCTACAGTTGGCTCTGACATCTGGCTTTATCGATGCGCCGACCATTCGCAAGAATCCAACAAACAGACGGAAATCAGAACTTAGGGTATATGATTGTTGTGATCAACAGTTTTCACTTTCAAAGAGGGAAGATGAGGAAAGACTTATTTTTCCCATCGAACATTTTCTCCTGTTCTTATTTGCCAGTTTGAGCTACCTCAACTTGAATGCAATGCACTTCTCATATCACATGCAATATCATAGAATAGTTGAAACGAAAACTAGCTTAAAACTATTCAAAACTAACTGCAGCCTCACACCGCTAGATTGGTTTTCAATAATTCAACTTGCCTGCGGACTATTGAAAAATCCTTTCGCCAGCAACCCGACAGTAACTTGAAATTCCCAACCTAAAACAATTGACAAAATACACAAAAATATCTAGAAAATAATAAAATCCTTGCGATAATCTGACTAATTCATATAAAATCTCTTTTCTTGTCTCTCTTTACAGCATCCAAACGCGCAACAGCTGCAGCACTTAATCATACACTTAAACAACAACGTCAAAAGTAAGGCAACCAAACAACATAGCCGCCAACTGTCGACCGTCCAACTAGTGACAGCTACTGCCAAAGTAATCCGCTTGGCAACAGCTGTCACCACTCAACTCAGAACCGAAAATGTTTCCCCGCCTGCCCGGTCCAATTGGAGCGGATATCTTTCACGGTGCCACCACCACTGTGCGTACGGTCTTTCCCAACTCGCGTCTAGATTCACTATCTGGCGGTGGCGGCGGCGGCGGCGGCAGCAGCGCACAATCTGCGCATCATCACACGCACCTCAACCACCAGCAGACGCTATCCCACGATGCCTCCGCTACACCAGCGCCCGCTTTTGGCAATCAACTGCTATCGCCGTATGATTCGTCCAGCACCAATGATTTTGCGGCCACTGACGGTGACAGCAGTGGTGGCAGCATTAGTAGCAGCTTCAGTCCGCTAGTCGATACCGGCGGCGCGGCAAGAAATAATTACCTGCCCGAAGACGATGCAGATTGGTGGTCGAATGCCATCGAAGAGGACACTTTCGACTCGCCGCTCGCGTTCGATGCCAGCGAGAATGGTTTGTGGAATGGGCGTTTTGTACCGCCACCACCACGCCCACCCTTTCTGGATGATGGCGTCGCGGCGGACGGTCTTACCACCTGTGATTTATGTACGTGGGCATGGCAACGCAATGCCTATTCGCTAGATGGATCGATTGGTGAGTAATCAGCAAAATGTTTCCACAGTTTATCTACAACAATTGCATAAGTATAACTATACAACCGAGCATAACAATGGTGAGCACCTTAGCTGTGGCAATTGCTATTTCCAAGTGGGCTGTCTCCACACTACTGGCGTTGGGTGGGTTTCACATTTTTGCTGTCTTGGCAGCAATTTATTGTGAAATGAGGATTTATGAGTGCAGCATATTGGCGCTAGCTTCGCTTTGGCAGTGCTCTAGTAAGCTTAGCTTCGAGATATTAATTTTTTTGAGATTGCTCAAGCATCAATTCGGCCGCTGTGACTCATCTAATCCTTCTTACCGCGCGCATTTGTTTTTCTACACTTTTCAATTAAATACTTCGAGCTTTTCTCTCAAACACTTTGGGCGGTTATTCTATCTAGTATTTCTTTAGTTACATTATATGTATTACTTTCGTCTCTCCTTACTCCAACTGCAGCCCACGTGGGTACATGTGAAGATATGCATTCCTGCAACAATCGATGGCACAATAATTTATCGTTACGATCACGTCTAGCGATTTATCAATTTTCAGATCTCTGCACAGAATTATTCACTTGTTCTTAGGTGAGTGTCTGTGTCGTCTGATAAATTTATGAGTTGGGCTGTGTGGTTGTTACCAAGGAGAAAATTGATGTTGACTTTTAGTGGTGGGGCCACTTGTCCTTCGGACTTTCCGTTAGTTCTATTTGCTAGCAGTTTTTTATTATTCGTTTTTCTAGAAAATTATTAAAAGAATGAAATAACGAAAAATGATCATGAAAAGATTTAGGCTTTTGAAGAAGATCACTTGCGCAGAAGAATCACCTGGAAGGGACAAGTAAACCAATATGTATTAAGCTTAGAGCTTGCCAGTTTGAGATTGCCACAGCTTGGAACCTTTAACTGGAACCATGAATTCTGGAATTTCTAATGAATAAAGTTTCTAGTTTCATTCCTCTGGGTGGCTGCATTCTCCATTCCCTCAACCAATGCAAGAAGAGCGGCACTCTCGATAAATTTGGGCCCCAAAATTTTTCAAGCAGCATAATCTTGCTAAAAACGATTTACCTATCTATCTATCAAAGTTAATTTGCGAAAGTCATTTATTAGTCTCCGGATTAGTCCAGACCTCGCCTGTCTAGCTGCCGTTTGCATATAATCCGTGGCATCCAAATTACAAAGAACTTTTTCGTATTATAAACGATGTTTCTGATATTTTTCGTAATCACCCTTTGTCCTTTTTTTCGAAACTCGCAAAAAAAAATCAACCAATAACCAACTCAACCTAACATATCATCATTTATAACAAATAATTGCTATATTTGGGTACTAGTGGTGTTCCCTATGCCCAATTATATGTACAAGCATATAAACTCAGCCTAAGCCCTAATTTCAGAGCTAATAACACTTTCAGGCAGCACTAATAATGCCACCAACCATCAAAGGTAAGGCATTAAACTCGCACCTTTTGCACGACTAATGACTCAGCAACGATTTAGAGCAACGTTTCGTCCTTTTTTCAGCAGCTGCAATTCTTGGGAAATGCGAAAAAATTCTGCTCTAACAAAATAATCCTCAACATCAAAACGCACTCAGCGACTGAAGAATGGCGGTAAAAAAAAAAATAAAAATAAAAATAAAAAAAATTAAATAAAAATGTGATTTAGCCCTTCAATGCAAGGACAGCACAAAAAATCAACGATTCATAAGCTTAATTGTACTAACAACCCCGTAAAAAACAGCCGACGTGCTGTAGAACCCACCCTCCCTCATCTCATCTCTACTTCACTCTACCCTACGACGACTAACTAACTATTTATGCAGCAACAAATAATATTAATTTGAAATGCGTTTATTCTCCGTATATTTGCAGGCGCATTAGCGCCGACTTATTGATGTGTAGGTGTGTGTACCTATATATGTGTGTATGCATATGTGTGTATGTAGATGTGTCTACTTCGTACGTGTTAATCACACACAAACTGATTACATGGAAATCCGTCCAGTAACGCCTTGTCTGCGCTAAGTCGCCGTTGATGCCAGTCACACGCAGTCACACCCACACACACACACACACACCTACACACTTACCACACAAATATGAAGTAAAAAATGTTATGTATATAGATAGTGAGCATTCCACGTAAATGCCACTTAATGACCACCACCGCGTTGCCGTACGGCTGCCTTTTGCACCTCAGTCTCCGCCGGTATGTTTGGGTATCCCTGTTGGTTTGAGGTCGGTCGGTCGCTTGCTTGATTGCATGATTTTTGCTATTGTTGTTCTTGTTGTTTTTGTTTGTACGAGTCTGCACGTCACATGGGACAGTCGGCGCGAGACTAAATTGAGTCATTATGTGTTTACAAATTTCGCTATAATCACACAAACACACGTGAGCTTCATTGCTCTGCTTAACTCTTCCGCCATTGCTGTGCTGTGGCGAGTGCGTGTCCGAGCATATTTTTCATTGTCGTTTTCATATTTGATTCCTAATGACGAATTCAAATGAATTCGGTTGGCGCCCGATGGTGGGCATACTACACTTAGTGTTGTTGCTGTTTTTGTTTTTGTCGCCGCTGCAACACTTTGTCGTGCGTCATTATCGTTAATCTGTTTATGGCATACATTGTTATGCGAAATGACGATTTGCTTGGCTAGTAGCGAGCTATGTATGTACATATGTATGTACATATATGTATATATGCATGCCTGTGAGTTGACGTGTGTGTGTGTTTGTTAAACTGTGCATTCGCATGCCACAAATTTAGTGTTTTGACGTTGGAATGGTGTCAACCAATTTGCAAATTGCACTCACATACAAACACATGCACATACATACATATGAAAACATGTAAATGAGACAAATCTATTTTTTAGCACCACCTCTAGTCATTTGTTTGGACAGTAGTTAATGGAAACAGCAAGAGACAGGGTATTTTGCTTACTGCCCTGTAGGAAATATTTGTAAGCTGATCGCTAATTGCTTAATTAGTGCCGAGAAGGAAATGGCTATTACTCAATTACTTCTTGACAGCGTGAGAACCACTAGTTGGTTCGAGTATCGTCGAAGAGACAGTTATTATAGACTGAGCTAGTCAAAACCTCTCAAAAACTCCTAGGAATTAAGCCAGTCCCGAACTCTTGGCTGACTTGAGTAAGATATCATTTATTTGCTTGGTCAAATTGTGACTTAGAAAAAAGGTGGCTACCGACCCATAGACCCATTGTGATACCACAAAAATTTAAACCATCAGGCTTCATCCTCCATCTATTTTGATAATCCAATGAATCTCATTAGATCCATACATCTTTGACGTCAGCTGTCTTCGATACGCCATCCAGCAGTAGGGTCACAAAATTACGAAACCTCAACCTGCTTAGTGCAGGACAGTCGCATAAGAGATGGGTGTTAGTTTCCTCCTCTTCATCCTCATTGCAGCTTTCTGCGTGACGCACTATCAGACAGTGGCCTATCAGAGCTGCTATAACTTTGGACATGTCGCCTCTTTTTAAGGAGTACATATCTCGTTATCTCTTCTTATCCCACTTCGACCAAGTGTGCGTGGTTTCGCGGCAGGTTGTAATGTCATTCCACCTCGTAGCGGCTTCTTCATATATGAATTCCTTGAGAAGCAGTTTACATGTAGCAAAAGGCATACCAATGCCTTCTTTATCGGGAAGAATCTGCTTATCGTACCCTGCCTAGCAGGTTCATCCACAAGATTTCTGCCATTTTTTAACTTCAACGTAAACTTGACCTCAGAACTACTGAGGTTTGGTTGACTTTATGATATACTTTAGTTCTTGCAGGGTTGGTTTATTGATATCTCTTCGTATATGTATGAGCATTCTCACGTTTATATGAAACTCATCAGTAAAATATTTGCACTAAACAATAAGCCTTCCTGGACTTCCTGCTGGTTTTTCAGCTTTACTCTTTCTTTTTCCTACTTTTTTTTTTGCTGAAAAAAGTGGTTGCAGCGATTTTATTCGCTTGATAAATAGAATTAATAACAAGCCAAGCGAAAATCGTCCAAAAGCGAATTGAAATGATGGGGCGTTGTTTAGCTGTCGGCCATATTAACTGACATCAAAACAAATGTCTTAATTTTCCATTTCAAATTTTGAATTTGCTCAATCTGTTTTTTTATTTTTTTTTTTTTATTTTCAACTGCAAATTTGCTCATACGAGTAGAGTCATACAATGGCGTTTGGTTTAAGTGTGTTGTTACTCATGGTCGTATGAATTTTCAAATGACAGAGTGATATTCAGTTTTATATTGGTCTAGTAAAAAGTTATCCATTATTTTTATTTTTTATTTTGAAGGTAGTGTCATTGTGGCTTTCTCATAGAAGCTCTTGTCCCTATTGGCAAGAAATTGTGACAACGAATTTTCACAGGCTTTCCTTGAGGCAAATGCTTCACTAGCCAAATCATTCGCCATAGACAGAAACAGATGGTTTGTTACTTTTGAGCGGCTCTTCGCTTGACCAAATGGCGCAAAGTCCACGTTATGTGTTGGGAGCAGCAAAGCCTCCCAACTAAAGTCCAAGTAATTAATCTGGCCATAAAAAATTTATTTAATCGAGCATTGTGATAGTTCTACGCTGGCTGATCGTTGACAGAAGAGCCCTTCTTGCCTATTTCGGCAGCTGACGTAACCCATAGCAAACCATTCCCTTCCAATCCCAGCATGGAAATAGAATGAGCTTGGTTGGTATCAATTCAGACTATGGAATCATTTGCGTATGGTCACCACCGGCCTTTGACTACAATATTTTCCATTTAATACAATTTTTCATTACGAAACCCTTTTTCAATGCCCGTAATTGCGCTGTTTCTTTTTTGTCACTTTCGGGATGATAATTTGGTCAATCAAATTTTTTTTTTTTTTTTGCTGGCATCCAAACTATCGAGCTTCTTTGAATAGCAAACCTTTTTGAATAATTTCAAACTGTGGTGCCTAGTGCCCCAGCAATCCCCCGACAAGTT